ACAGCCATTAAGGCTTTAATAATTTTATAGAAAAAATGATAATTTTTTTTTAATCTAAACTTAAGACTTTTATAACTTTTTTATTAGTTAACATTTTTAAATTTTATAAACACGACGTATAACTTTAATATTTTTTTCTATAAGAACATCAATTTAGATTTGCTTGAATTCAAAAAGATTTTAATGTGTTTTTGGCCGCTTTTGTTTTTTTTATTTTTTTCAAAATCCAAAATCACTGTCCCCAATTTGCTGGATTTTTAGTAATCATTTCCAAAAAACTCTTTTCCACTGAAATAATATTTTTTCAATTGAAAAATACAATTTTTTTGCCATTATAAATTGTAGAAACATATTTCTTTCAGTATATTTATATTGCACATAATTTAAAGAAAAAACAAAATAAATTTGCAAGGAATTTCTCATATTAGTAGTAGAGAAATACTTGCTCCAGTTTCTCGTATATTTCATTAATTTTTTTGAAGACAAATGGTACGTTGTTGTTCCTTTTACCGAGTTATTTAAAAAGAAAAAAACCTTTTCGCAACAGAATGAATAATCGCATTTGCTACTATAATTATTTGGTGATAAATTAAATGGTGGGTTTCTTAGGTTTTTCTGGGTCTTACCGCAGATATGGGTATATAAGGGTAGCGAATGGCGCACCGGTCAGCGACAAGAGACAAACGACCCGAAAGATTGATGACAATATGTTGACGCAAGAAAATAAATTAATAACGGTTTTTCTTTCGCTTTTTCGGTTGTTTTTCTTTTCGCCAAGTTGTTCACAATAGGTTATCGAGGAAGTTTTCTAATTAAAAGTGTCTAACGACGCGATGAGATAATGATAGGGGGGATTAAGGATAATCCGGCACTTTGGTAATAAATTACGCTGAGCGACATTTTTTCTCATTTCTCATTGTATCGATTTTGATAAAAACAATGTAAAGTCTTTTAATTTTATTTATGGTTTACATACACAGCAAAAAAATATTGTGTTAATTTTAACAAAATATTAACCAGATTTTATGTTAATCCAGGTCCACATAACTTTATGTTAAACATATTGGACTAGTCAAAAAAAAATTCTTTATGTTTAAACACTATGTACCTACTATTAAATTTATTAAACATTAAATAAGTTAATTAAAACTTATCACTAAGAAACTCTTTCACAGAATAATATATTTTTTCTAAAAACAAAGTCTGCTATCTACATTTTAACATTTATGAATATTTACAACAAGACACAATAGACATAACTTTATTATACATTCCCATATAAATAAAACACGTTTGACATACAGAGAGCCTAGAAAATGGCAAAACTAACTTATTTTGGCTTCTTGTTGAGTGTATGTTACCATGTGTTAAAATATCTTTTTTATTTTCAAAAATGACTAAAACTAAACTTAATATGTACAAACAGGAAAGAGTTACAATTTTGTATTTCCTAAACAGAGGTTTACAAGAATATGTTGGACTTTTCTTGTCCATGCACCAAAGGATCTTCTTTTTCGTTATAAAAACTTTAATGTAATAACTTGAGCTACCCCAAAATATAACTCCATAGACAAGATGTGCCTGTACTACTCCAAAGTACAAAAGCTTGAGTACTGAAAAATTTTTCAATTAACAGAACTTACTTTTTTATTTAAATTATTTATTTGTTTTTCCCATGTTAGTTTTCGATCCAAGTAAAAACCCAAGAACTTTATGCTTTCCACAGATTCAACTGACTTACCCAAAATTGGAATAAATAAATCGTAATCTGGAGAAACATTTTTTGGTTAATATCGCATATAAAATGTTTTGTTTTTATTAATAGTTGGTCCATTTTCCTCACACCATTTATTGAACAAGTTAGATTTTAAAGAGGCTTCGGATCATAAGTTTAAAATATTATTATTTTGAATAATAAGGTTGGTATCATCTGCATAAAGAATAATTTTCTCATATTTAAATTTAAATCATTTACAAACAACAAAAATAAAAGTGGACCCAATATCGATCCTTGAGGTACTCCCAATGATTTTTTCACCATTAATAGATACCACTTGGGTTCTATCCAATAGATATGATTCTATCCATTTATTAGTAACTCCTCTAACTCCTATACTTTCAAGTTTATTTAATAATAATTTGTGATTTATAGTATTAAATGCTCGACTAAGATCATAAAACAGTCCAACAATATGCTGTTTTTCATTTAAACTTTTAAAAATAAAATTCAAAGCACTCTCGATTGCTGTGTTAGTGGATTTATTTTTCCTAAAGCCATATTGAAATTCAAAAAGTAGTTTGTTAGATTCTAAAAAGTGCTGTAAACGATTGTAAGACAATGTATCTATTATTTTATTAAACTGGTTTTAAAGACTCACAGGTCTGTAATTTAGAGGATCAGATTTGCTTCCTTTATTTTTATAAATGGGTACACATTTTAAACATTTAAGTGCAAATATGACCAAATATGCTAAGGGTTCTGCAATAAGTTCTTTTGACATATCTAAACATTTACCATTTACGTCATCAATAAATCACGTGTACTTTTTCAACGAAATAATTTGTTAAACATTTGCAAATTAATCTGTAACCTTTAAAATTAACAAAATGCTTACAAAATGCATTTTACCTTTACAAAACATTCAGTAGAATATTTTCCTTTGTACTACAAAAAATTATGTTAAAATTTTACAAAATAAAACTCATGTTAACAAATCTGATTTTTATAACATTGTATTTAAACATTTTGAGAGTTCTGATAAATAAAATATATAGGAAAACTATAAAAACATATCTCAATTGCCCATTTAAATTGTATTATTTTTCTCATGTTTGTTATTTTATTGCAACCAAGGGTCTAATCATAAATCCGTTAGTGTCTGGGTCTTGTTGAACGGCAGCATCGTTACAGTTTACGAGGGATGGATTATGTCCTTTATACCCTTTAAGCGCGGGCCGAAGGGATGAAAAGGGGAGCTGAGATCCCGCCCTAGTAGAAATTTAAATGGGGAACTAGTAGGGCGCTAGCTAGTTTTCCCTAAATCAAACGAGGGCCTCGCTAGGAATCCCTACTAGTTTCCGACTAGTCATGTAATGCTTTTCCTGGTGGGGAACTACTGGGGAAAAACTGGTAGGGAAAACTAGCTTAAAACTGGTTGGAAATATTTGTTTGTTTTTTAACCAATAATAAACGCCAGTAGCAAAAATTGTTTTATTAAATTAAATACATGTTTACTTTTTTTCTTTATGTTTTTTTCTTTCGCTTCTGCCCCCACTCCAGTCTTTGGAGTTGGGCAGAACATCGCTTAAGGCTTTTTCAAATTCCTTGGATGTAAGCCTTTGTTTATCCTGAACTTTTTGACGATCAATAAAATCTAAAATGTAAAGACAATAATTAATAATTATTCAAAAATGTTGGGGTGTAGTCCATATTTCATTATGCATTAAATCGAATTCCAATAAAATTTTAAGGGTAGGTAATAGGTGCCACCTAAATATTTGCGTTAAATCTAATGATATTTATCTACTTCTACATTGACAAACTGTGACTTTATGGCGTTTAAGTCATGGGCTAAAGTTAGCAACAGTGGCTTTTGGGCATTTTAACTTTATTATAAAAAAGTGAGGTTAAATTCGTCAAATAAATATAAATTAAAATGGCGTTAATAAAACTTGATACATAATATACTATTAAAGGCAATACATATTATTGGACTGTATCTAAACGCATTATTTTCGACTATTAGACCAGACTAGGGTTTTAAAGTGTCGAAAAAAAAACCGGAAAAATTGGGGAAAAACCTGTTTTTTTCAGTTTTTTCTCTCAGGCCTTGGAAAAATTGTCTTTTTTTAAAAAAAAATATTGTTTTTGGAAATATTACACATTTTAAAAAAGTGGAAAACAACATCATAACATTATTTTAATTTAAAAAATATCCTTTATTACAGAAAAAAAACCTAAATTGAATTAAAATGATTTAAGAAAATAAAAGTAAACGTTTGGGTCTTTTATGCAAAAATAAATCCATTGAAAATATTCAATTACAAAATAATAAATTAAATTACAGAATCATAATTTTATAAATAAAAGTGTCAAATGAAACAAAAGTTATGTGTTAAAATAAAAGGAATAACTATTATATTGATTGGAATTTCACATTTTTCTCGATATCAGTGTACCGTAAACACGGGTGGCTTTAGCTCACTTTCAAACTTAAGCTTAAAATGTTTGTGGTTTTAACAATCATAAACATTAAATAGAGTCTTGAGTTGCTCTTTCATAACAACTATGTATATATATATATATATATATATATATATATATAAAAAAAATGCAAAAGTCAATTTTTCTAAAAATTTCCAAATTTTTCTGTTTTTTTTTTTTCGGAAAAAAAGATTTTCTTTTTCAACGGCTTTTTTCGAAAATTTTAAAACCCTACACTGGACTAGTGTTAAGTGATAAATTTATCTTACTTTTTATACTATTTGCAAATTGTGTATCCTTTAAAACAAGCTCCTTTGTGCTGCATTTTTTGACAGCTGTAAATAGTGCCGCCAATTCCCTACTTAAAAATTCTTTTAAAATTATCGTAACATTTTTCGTTAGGGAATATATGCTTGTGTACAATGAGCACAGCGTCGAATCCTAAAATAAATTGAAATAAATATAGATTAAGAAGCTTTGCATGTAATGTTTAGGTAGTACATTTTTTTTAAAATTGTATTGCCTTGTATCATAAAAACAAAGCAGGTTTTTAAAAATCATCAAAGCACAAAATATTCTTAAAATAACCCAAAGAATATATTTTTGCCCAGAAACATTTTTTCAAAATTTAAAACCAATGTTAATAGACAGGGTTTTGAAAGAAACAAATTAATACAATTACCCTCAAGATATACAGGGTAATATTAACCTTAAATAGGGTTATATTACTCTTAAGAAAAAAATTAATACAATATTGTATAAAATTTTTCCTATTAAACAATACATAATGATTTTTTTAACTTACAAAATCTTCGGAGAATTCCTTTTTTGTCAGCAACAACTCGCAAAATGCTGTAAACTCAGGTACAGTCTGGATAGGTAAATTCAAATCGTATTTTTTGGCCAACATATGAGGGTTCAGAATAATATTATTTGCAATCTTGGCGCTTAATCCTTTTTTATTTACCAATTCAACAATATCATTACAATCTTGTTTAACATCTGAGACATGATACTCTACAATGTTATTAACTCCTTGAAACATTAAAGCAAGATAATCTACAAAATAAAAGGTGCATTATATTGTTTATATTTTTTAACCAAATTATATATTATTTAAGTATTTAAAATTAAATACCAAACCTTTTTTTGATATATTTTCTCCTCCCTTGTCATCCATTAGTTTGGAGTATTTTGTAATTAAATTTTCAATAAATAATTTGTTTCTGGGTTGCTCTGCAGGCCCTCTCTGAAATGCATTATGAATTTTTGCTTTTGGGATTTGCAGTGGTTGTAAATTTGTCAAAACCTGTTGTCTTACAAGATCCTTTTCTGAAGGTTTGGCTAAAGTAGATGGTTTTAAAATGTCTATAAAATAAAATTAAATTATATAAATAAAAGTTGAATAAATGAAAATTATAATCACAAAGAAATGGTAAATACCTTTCCCTCTCTCATCAAAAGAAATTTCATGTTTGCGTTTTTTCTTAAGAGACTTAAAAAAGTTTTCTGATTGATCTAAGATAAAACCAGTAAGTTGATAAAAAAATATAAAATACCTTTATTAGATAAACTCACCATCACTTGAATCAATTTGATTTTCCTTATCATGGCCTTTAAAAATAATAAATAAGATATTGGAAAAAAATTAAAAATTTGTAAAAAATATAAATTTGTGAAAAAATATAAACACCTTTCTTTCTTGCAAAACTTTTTGTCTTTTTTTGTTTAGTTTTCAAGTTTTCATCTGAGTAGTCTAGAACAACATTGATGGTTAAAATAGAAATAACATTAATCTTGCATACATTACCATTGCTTGATCCTGATGTTTTAATATCCTTGTCAGAAAATGGTTGCAGTTCATTGTAAAATGTTATTTTTTTATTTGGAACCTTAATTGTTCTTAAAATTTCTGAGGCTGCTTTTGCTTTTTGATCTGTATCCATCTCACTTCCAGTAGAAAATGCTGACGATTGTTTCATTACAACTCCTAATTTCATTTTAGCTTCTTTATAATTTCCTAAAAATCCAATATACTAGTACATTTTGGGTAAAATATTTTTATACATTTAAAAGATATTGACTGAAATTGGGCAAAAACTAAGAATCAATAGAATAAAAGTTGTTTACTTGCAAAAGCTCTGATTTTTATTCTATACATTGAATATTCAAGATCCGCATCTTCATTGTTTTTTATTAAGTTAATAAGTTTTTTAAAAACCCCATCATCATATGGGGGTGGGGGGTACAAGGTTTCACATTCTTCAGAATTGCCTGGAATTGCATCAGTCCACTTGATTGGTACAATGTCAATTGCTTTTTGCCCTGTCTCTAAAGTTTCCTTCACAAATTCTCCAATGACATAAATGTAATCTTAAAAATAATTAAATTATGTTATTTAAAAAAAAAGTTTAGTACCAAAATTGGTCCCTAAATCAAAATCAAAATAAAACTGACACTATTCAAAGGATATTACCTATTTGTTTAAAAGTTTTTCGTCACTTACACTTACAATAACAACAATAAAATAACAAAAGTTTGGTTAACATTAAGAAGTGTACTACACCTAAAGACCTTTAAGTTACTTAAAAGTCAATGATATGTTATGTTATAGACTCTAATGATTAGAGATCCTTCATAAAGAGAGTCCAGACCCGATTGTCAATGTCACTGTTCAAACATGTATTTTCCTCTTTGTTTTTTAAACCACTTGGCCAGAAACATAGACAAGGGATAGGTTGGGTGGCCAGAAAAATAAATAAGTGCACCCTAGGGATGTAGGTACTTTATCCTTCTTTAATTTAGTGGAAATTTAGTGGTTATTTTTTTGATTATTTAATTATCTTATATAATAAATATCCCAGATTAGGTAATTAAATGTATAATATAAAAAAATTGTTTTTTTATACACTTTGACAGACCTAAACTTAAATATTTGTGTTCCTAATTAAAATGTCAAAGTGGGCATTTTTAGCATGTACAATAGTACATGTCACATTATATCTAGACATTATAATAATTAGGTATTATTATTATCTTTGATTCTATACATATATATATATATATAAGTATAAAACATACCTTACCGGAGTACCTATGACACTGAGATTTATTAAACGCAATGTGACAAATTAAATTAAAAACATACCAACCATAAACAAAATATGTATTACAGTAACATTGACAATCATGTCCTGTGTCTAGGTGGATAAAGGTACTCTAGACCACATAAATGTCATGTTTTGTTAACTACAACATAGAAATATTAACAAAAAATACATAATTGAACTTTAATGCCAGCACTATTATGCCTATGAGTACAAATCACCCTGTACAATTATGATTCTTTTACAATAGTTGCATAGACCAGACATATAACACTTCTAAACCACAAATCTGAATATAATATTCTATTTGGACCAGGATATGGAAATTTTAAGGTTAATTTTTGGTCAAACGATTTAAAATTAAATAGATCTCGCCAAAATCTATGGCCAATACTTACTTTTATATTTGTTGAATGGCATGATTACTGCCAACAAAAATAACAAGCTAATTAAAGTTGTAATCATAGAAAAAGGATATATTATTACACCAAAGAAAAGCACAGGTTGCTAGTTGAATTCTTCGATTTGAATTTAACGGTTAAATTCAAGCTTTGTTATCTATGTTCTAACCTACAAAATTTGTTGTTTCTTTTAGGCAGGGTTGCCAGACCTTTTTTTTGAAAGGTAACCGGACGGAGGCACTGAAGTGGTTTTTAAAACTAATAGTTAATTCATTAAGTGTTTATTTTGTTTGGGCTTTAATTTATGTTTAATACTTAAATTTAAGTTTTTCAAAAGCGACTGGTTGCTTTTATTCAAATTTTAGTCGCAGACAGACCAAAAGTCTATGGGTAGCCAGGGCTGGCAACCCTGCTTCCATGGAAGCACACATCCGTATGTTGCCGGCTTGCTAGATTAGTTACCAGGTTGCCAAGTCTACATATTTATCATTAAATAACGCATTTTTTGGGCTGAGAAAAATTACTTTGCTGTATTATAATAAAATAAATTAAATTATATATTAATTAAAATAACAATTACTTACCTATTTTAAATTATATATTAATTGAAATAAAAATTACCTTCCCCTTAAAGTCTTGTAATCTCTTTAAGTTAATAAATACATAAAAAAACAACATTTAATTTTTGTTATATATAAATTAAAACAAAGTTTAGTGCAACAAGGGCATTGAGAAGAATATGCGCCCAGTTCCTTGTTTAATGCTTAAAGTCACAAGCTTCTGACACGCATGTTCAAGGGGCAACATATGTATTTCTGTTTGATGATCATTTTGCATTTCCCACATATTTAAATGCTTCGATGAAAGTGGATAATTGAACATAGGGCTTTTTTTTTTTAGAATAAAGCCAGCGATTTTAATACGAGTCGGATCATTTTGCTGCATAAAAATTTTTTGAATGCTAAAAAAATTGCCATCTATCAATACCACATTATTGTTTGGATACAATGGAGTCAAAAGAAACTCTTTAAATTTTATTTTTAAAATTTGAATTTCGGGATCATCTTGTAAATATTTTTTCTTAATAATGGTTACGGTTTTTGGTGGCTTCACTGGAAGAGGTTTATTTGTAGTAATTTCATGTAAACGCTGAGAAACTTGAGCCAAAGGACGATTTCCAGATCGTAAAAGACTTTTAATTTTTCCCAGTAAATTTTCAAAAGGAAATGCAGTTACTAAACTTAGGTGGCAGTTCATATTTCTCACATCTTGTGCAAGGTGGACTAAATTGTGAGTGTTAATAGTGTAAAAATCTTTGCTGTATACGAAGGAAGACAAATCAAAAAATTTTTGCAAATAGTTTTCTGCTTGAAAATTTTTAGTTAGTGCAAGTTCTTTATCACATAATATTCTGCAAGCGGCATGAAACAATAAGAAGTGACTATATTGTTCACGATTTAAAATATCTTTCATTACTATAGGTCCACAATATAGCAAAAAAAAACGGAATTCTGTGGCTTTCCAGAATTTATAATACACAACAGATCTTGGAGTACGTTGAAATTCTTGACAAATTTGGTGACGAAAATCTTCCAACCTTTCGGAGAGTAAAGTTTTTTTTGCGTGACTAATTTTATATCTTAAATCAGTTATCCAATATTTAAGTAATTTTTTCATTGTCCCCAAACAAGCAAGATGCATAAAATCTAATAAAAAGTGGTCAACAAAATTGAAATGTAATTGAATATGGAGCAATGGTGATTCACCAATATGATGGTCCTTATCTTCTTGATTTCGAAAAGACTCATCTGTTCGTTCTACGCAGTGACGGTCTGGATAGATTGTAGTCCCATTGCATCGCTCTCCATAAACATAACATCTTTCACATGCTGCATATCCTCCATGATTTTTTGTGCATTTAGCAAAAGCTCGAGCTGGAGTATCGCATATGAAACACTTAATGTGAATTTCGAAAACTTTATCCTTTATTTCTATGCCATTTTGAAAGCTATTAAGTTCAGCTACTAGCTCCTCAAAAAATAATGATTGATTTTGAGGTTTTTGTTTCCCTGCATAAATCGCAACTACAAAGGGCTTATAAATGTCAATATGGTGATGTACTTTACAAGCGATTGTCCAAAATTGTGTTGTACTGGATTTGTATAAAGGGATTCCGTCAATGTGCAATTGGAGGAAAATTGCGTTTTCATGAAGCTCGGTAATAACGCAGGCCTGCAAACCTTGAAGTATTCCCAAGTACACGAATTCTCCATCACCTAAAATCTGAATTGTGTTTGAGGAAGAACACGATTTCAGAAGAGTTTTAGCTGATTTGGGTAATTCCGGAAAAAAATTTTTTAATATAGCTAATAATTTATTAAGATGAGCATGTGGAATATTGCATTCAATGGCCCATCTTTTTAATTTTTCTACGTCAGTTTCCTCATCTATTTGTTCTTTAATATCAGCAATGTCGTCAAAACCTCCTTCATCTGGGCTGTAAAAATCGTCTTCGTTGTCAACCTCATTTTCAGTTCCGTTTGGATCGTTTTCGGAATTATTATTCTCGGTTGTAAATTCATTTGGTATAACCTCGTGTGACGAGCCAAATTCGTTTGTTGTACCATGACTTGTTGACTCACTATCAAGTTCTTCTGTACCGATGGAACAATCTAACAAATAAATGGATAAATTAACACAAAGGGTGAGTTTAAGTTGAGAGGTTATTTGAACAGCGTGCAGAAAAAAAACGAATACTTCAAAAATAAGAGAGAAACAGCCTTTCAAAGTATATCTGCAAATACCACACGGATTGCACGTCACTACTGTGCACTGATGCAACCATCTGAAAACTACTGCGCATAGGTACGGTCATCTGGTAACTACTGCGCATAGGTACAATCATCCGGTAGCTAGTGCGCATAGTGCAAACCATCTGGTACCTCCATCATTTTAAATTCGCAATTTTACTCCTACCCTCTCAACTTAAATCTCACCCAAAAAATCATCCCTTAAAATTTTGCCCAAAAGTAAAAAAGATTCTATAAAATTTAACTAAGGTTAAAGGTGTTTAATTAAACACCCTGTATCTTCAAAACAAAGAGGATTCTCAAAAACATAATTCCTTAAATATTTGTCCAAAAGAAGCCTCAAATATTTGAGGCTATATATATATATATATATATAGTATATATATACTTAAATTGTAAAACTTCAAAAAAACTAAGGTTAGGTTTGAGCTATAAAATGTATTTACACATAAAGTAATAACTTACCGTGATAAAAAGTATTAAGCACCTCCTTTCTTTTTCTATATTTTTGCACACGCTTAGCGTTTAATTTTTTTTTTCGTTTAATACAATCCATTCTCTTAGAACACAATTGTGTTATTATTGTATCGATCGATACGAATGGAATGTTAATGCATTAACATGTTATCGATCTTAAAGATTTTCCCTACATTTCCTTACAAGTTAATGGTGAGGAAAACTTGACTCGGCCTAAACTGGAATTCAATGAGGAAAACTAGTTGTGAACTAGTCAGTCTGAGCCGAGTCACAACTAGGCAAGTTTTACTGGTTAGTTACTAGCCAGGGCCTATCTAGTATTTCCCTTTCTAGTTTTTCCCTATTTAAACCCAACCAGCGCCCTATCAGTAGTGAGGAAAACTGGACAAATTTCTACTAGGGCGAGGTCGTCCGTCGTTCTTATAAACCGTTAAGGAATTAAGGACTTTGCACTATTCCTATACGAGGCATTACGTCGCCTGTTAGTTTGTTGCCGAACGGCGCGTTTCCCGGGTTTACGACCGCTCGCTATTAATTACATGGGACTTTTAAATCTCTCACTTGAGCTGAAATTAATTTTTGGTTGATGTTACACTTGACAACGTTAAATTAAAACAAGATGTTATCTCTTTGCCAATGAGATTTTCCCCGAAAAGTATTATTTTTTATTATACCACTCTTGAAACAAGTTTGATAAACGCCATTTTACTCACGAATTTTAATTAGGCACGAGGAAGATTGCGAGCGAGTTTTTAATTAAATGAGTGTCTTGAAAAGTTTATAAACAAGTTGCATACTATACTTTTTCTACGACAAATACTTATTATCTAAAAATGATTCAAGTTAAATATTTTTATAGAGCGACATAAAAAATAGAGCAACTCGCATAAGAATTTCTAACTTGAGAATCTGTATTACCAAAGTACCAGTCAAAATGTCAAATTTTTTTGTATAAATCGAAATTTATCCCTTGAAAATGTACTAATAACCGTTTAAATCTGATCGAGAAAAAGTTTTTCATAGTGAAAATAAAGAGAATGTTTTATGGGAATGCTTTCAGTTAAATCCAGTTTACTGCCGACAAAATCAAACTTTCCTTATAAGCTGAGAAACTATTTAATACTTTTTATTTTTTCTATTAAGATAATGACATCATATCCACATTATTATTTCACAAGGGCACTTTATATTAACGATTGTATTACATTTGATAACTGTGAACTAACTTAAAACTAGTCCGTGACTAAAAATTTGTTGTTAACTACAGCCCCTGATTAAAACTCCATAAAGCCACAACTTGTCAATGTGTATTTAAAAGTTTTAAAACATTATGGGAGTTTTAAAGATAGGAGGAGAAAAAATATTTTATTTGTTAATAAAAAAAATAATTATGTTTAAACGACATTTTTTTAGGATTAAGGGAATTTTAAGACCCATTTTTACTATTAACAAGTTTTAAAATGTTTGTTGGTAGTTTTAGGACAAATTTGGGACAACTATATAAATTTTTTGACAATTGAAGAATAACCTTTTGGAACAATATTTATTATTATTATTTATATTACATAAATGTAATATAAATAATAATAATAAATATTTTCCAAAAGGTAAATTTACATTTTTAGAATTTTTTAAATATAACAATCTTTTATCCGAAATCGGCAGTAAAGTAGTCAACAATCGGCAGTAAAGTAAAAGAAATCGGCAGTATAGTAGAATTTTACTGAGAGTATTGTAGGCAACCCATTATACATTTTAAGATGTATCTACTGCTACTCAGCAGCAACTAAATAATATTTTAAAAAATGCAGCGTCGCGGAGATCGATTGGACCAGTTCATAAAATGTTGTTTAATAAAAATAATAAGTTAATTTTATTAATTAGATTAAAAAATCACCGCGTCAAAATAAAGCTAGAAAGTTAGGTTAGAACAGTCTGAACGAATTTATATTCAAAAATTATTAAACTAGTTTTATAAACTTTTCTAGACACTCGTTTATTAAACACCCGCTCGCAAGCTTCCCTCAAGCCTAATTAAAACTCGTGACTAAAATGCCGTTTATTATAATTACTACATAATATACTATTATGATATTTTACTTCTTAAACTTTCAAAAAAATACCCTAAAATCTAAATTGTATTCTATATTATTAAGAAATAAAAAAGTAAATACCTAGGGAGATTTAAAACACTAAAAAAATCTTGCATTCAATAGAAAAAAATAAGCCCCCATTGAAAATATTTGCACATCTGTTACATTGGCTATTTATAGAGCAAATATCTAAGGAAAAAATGGCACTTGCGTAAAATCCCGACAGGTCATTAGTGGACTGTTGGCCATAGCAGGGGGAAAACAACGGGCACGTATCAAAAGTAAATTTGCTTTTGGCCGGTCCCAGAAAAAAGCCTTATCAAATATTGACCCCAGATTAACAAAATCAGCAATCAGAGAAGGCCTGGAGTTGATTGTAATCATGGCCACCCCGGCCATTCGACAGAAGTGGATCAGAAGAATCCATCGAAGTGACTCATCGGCGGTGGCTTTGGTTTTTCACGATTTTCATGGCACGTATCGGCGGGTCAAAGTAGCCGTGGCGACCTTTTAGAGGTTAGTTTAGTCTTTTGTTCGCTCATAAAGACAAATGAAGGGATTTGCACTTATTTTATGGGGAACGTGTTCGCAGAAAGTAAGTTTGATATCGGGAGGGTTTACTTATAGATAAAATATACGCTACATGCTCCACTTCTCTTTGATTTTATGGCCCTCCAGCCCCAAAGATCGTGATCTAAAAACTCGCTGCGGCAAAAGAACTGATGATGAGATTAAAATTATTGTCTTCTTTGTCCATTTCTAAGTGGATTTTTTCGATGCATTAAATAGGTTGACATTTAGATATAAAACTGAACATAATTAATAATTTATCGATATAAATTCCTATTTTGCCCTTTAACTGATGTAATCTCAATATATCTTATACATTAGGGTGGTCTACAATTGTATGGAGGAAAAAAAACTTTGTGGAATCATGCCTCTACATAGTCATTTTTGTATGAAAATATGTAATAATATTTTACGAAATTTGAACCATCTATAGGTTGCAATTTACTGGTTATAGAAGGTAAGTATTTCTTAAACCATTAATGTCAACTACAGCAAGGCAGAATAGGTAAAATATAGCTGGAAAAACAAATAAAGTTCAGTTCAAAGCAGAGTAAAGATACATATGGGACAATGTTACAATCATCTTCGTCTTTTTCTAAAAACTCTGAAATAGAAGTGTGAGCTTAGTTTATGTGAGATATTGGAATGAATCTTTACTTAAAATTAGAACTTCCTATAACGATATTCAGCTCTTAGGTATTCTAAAAAGTTAAAAAATAAAAAAATCGGTAAAAAAACATGCTTTCACTTCGCATTCAATAAACTAAAAAAAATATTTTACTATAGAAAGTTCTGTTACCTACCAGCTTCTTCTTAATGTCCTTATTAATGAAGGAAACAGCAAAAGTGAAGGTACCACCTCAGAATCGGCCATGGCCATGCATGCATGCATAACATGTTGTCCGATTTTTCAAGAATTTTGTGTGTTGTAAGAGTTGTTAATAAAACTGCATAACGGGGAATCAGTCTTATTAAAAAATACAACCACTTACTGACCGAGGTAGAAGAACAGTATATTTTCTGCCCAGTCCCAAATCAACGGAAAAAGTTTGATGAACCATAACAAGCATTCTCCTGGGACCCAACGTACATTAAAATGGACACAGTTTTTTACTTCTAATATTCTAAATATATTTTTGAGAGACCTACAACCCACAAACCTTTATATTGGATATATAATGGGCATTTCGTAAAGTGGCATAGGATGGTAAGTTATCTATTGTTTAAATTTTTGTGGCTTTTTGTTTACAATTCGTAAATAGTAAAGTTTGTTTAATATTTTAATCTAATTTTATATTAAAAAATCTCTTTTGTATACTACAAGTCTTAAAATGAAACATCCATTTAGATATTTTAATTTATTTTCAGAAATATTTGACAATAAAAAAAACTCTTAGACCTGGGGAAGATGACGATAAGCTTTTTAAACTACTAACGGGAGAATTTTCCGACAAAGAAATGTTAGATGATGAAAAGGAAGAAATTGATTTTGAAGAAATAGCTCACGACAAAATTGATTTTAAAGAAATAGCTCACGACTATGTTGATTTTGAAGAAATAGGTCACGAAGAAATAGAAAAGGAACAATCTGACGAAGAAGCCTTATATCAAAGGGAAGAAAGTGAGTTTGATGAAGAAGATTTACTTCCGCTTAGTGTTGTTCGCGATAATTTACTTGTAGTTCAAGCTCAAAATGATCCTACTAAGGCGAAACGTACTGCCTGAAAAAGAAATCCAACTTTTACACCTCCAAACTTTGAATGGACCGAACCTGAAAATGACTTTCAAGCACGTGACTCCCTTTTTAACCTTTTTTTTTAAATATTTTTTGGAATTTTCTTTTTTGGTTTTTAATTATTTATTATTATTTCTTGAAAGGGAAGAGGCCCCATGTCCATTAAAATGGACCATATTTTTTAAAATAATGAAAAAATATTTATTAAAAAAAGTTGTTTATTTCTTCCTTCCCAAAACACCTGTAAAGTTTCAAAGTGATCCAAAAAAGAAAACCTTTTTGGGTCCCAGGAGGTTATTTCGTAGTTTATGATTTTAGCGTTTTTAAGTTTAATTATGAGTGTGTGTACTACTTATTTAGATGTAGACCACCCTAATAAGCATACCATGCCACACATTTATTTTGATACAAAGGTTAAGGCGTTACTAGACTGGATAATATATTGTTTCGACATTTGAAAATTCGATAATAAACGGTTAGCTAAATTATACCTTTGCAGGAAAATGCACACAGTTCCTCGAAATGGCATGTGTGCTCGAAAGCACGAACCTTTTCTAAACCATATTTTATTTTATAGTTTAAAGCTGGTATTTTAACTATAAAAGCTAATATACTTAATTTAAGTTAATTACCTATACCTTTTAAAGATAACACGATAATAAAATGAAAAAGTCTATTAAAATTTCCTTTTATTCATATTATTATTTTATGTCAATTCAGGTTCACATAACTTTATGTTAAGTTTACAACCAACTGTTCTCTGTTAACTAATTGAATAAGTAGTTTGTTATTATAACAAACATTTGCGAATTTGTAGATTTAATAACAAAAACCTACATCAATAATTCAACCATAATCCTTGTAATTTTCAAAGAGGGCCTTATTTTTACAAACCTTTTTGTAGACCCAATGACAAAAGTATTTGTTGGAAATTGAAAACTTAAATAAAAATAGATTATATTTCAAAAACTATTCTACTTTTATAACTTTTGACGACATTTTCGGATTCAGCGTATAATATTTCATAGGAATTGACTGCTAAATGTCCTGGATACAAATTGCTGTTGACGAGAATTATTAGTGACTGCTTTTTCGCTATGACATTTTTGAATAATTCATTTTTAGAGAGTAAGTAATATAGTGATCGTCACAGGACATCTTTTAGAATAACTGTGATTTAAATACAGAGCATGATAGAGAACATAAAAAACTAATGGCAACAAAATTAATAAATTCGGAAAATACTTTTAAAATACCACCCGAAAAATATTAGATATATATAAATCATCCTGTTCTGGCCTAAACATTATAAATGCTTCAGAGATACCACACTTAATGAACAAACTATTTCAGAAGTTTGACCAAGGAATTAGTAGTTACCTTCAGAATCCAGAAAAGGGATGAGGAATTCGAGAAATAAATTTGTGAATTACCTATATGATATTTACAAAAACGAAATAAAAAAATTACCTAAAACAGCAATTTATCTTTAAAAAATATTTAACAATTTATGTTATTTGATGTAAAGTTGTTATGTTTATAAAAAAATTGTATGTCCAATAACTATGGTCCATGTGTCCAATTACTATATAAAATGTCCAATTACTATACTTTTTTGCATGTTTTTATAAAACTATTATTAAAAATTCAAATATTCCTATTTTTAAGTAAACGTAAATAAAGTTAAAACAAACAAACCATTATTTTTATACAGGGTGTCCCACAATTAGTGCGACAAAATGAAGGTGTATTATCTAAAGACCCCCAGGAATTCCAGAAAATTGTTTAAAAAATTATTTCTTCATTATTTAATAAGATACAGGGGAGTCATATTTTCTTTATATGGCAACATTGCCTCATAACAAAGTAATAGTTTAATTTTTTATCATCATGACAACAAACAACAATGTTAGAAAATGCCAAATTTAAATGTCAAAATTTGTTACTTTAAGTTATAGGTTATTTATTTTACGTCAGACAGGGACTCCCTGTATTTTTTTCTATCCAGTCTGACGTAAAATAAATAACCTATAACTTAAAGTAACAAATTTTGACATTTAAATTTGGCATTTTCTAACATTGTTGTTGTTATGATGATTAAGAATTAAACTATTACTTTGTTATGAGGCAATGTTGTCTTATAAAGAAAATATGACTCCCCTGTATCTTATTAAATAATGAAGAAATAATTTTTTAAACAATTTTCTGGAATTCCTGGGGGAACACAGGACACCCTGTATATTTATAAGAAAAACACAAAAATCTTTTAAACAACGGCATATATAAATTTTAAATAAATAATATTCCTTAAGTGTCCAATAACTATGTGGTTTATGTCTGGCGTCCTAATTTAAATTTGAGCTTCTGTTGGGAGACCCTATAGAATATAAAATCTATAGAGGTTGAATCAAATTAAAGATAGGTAGAGGTGACATAATTACCGAGACGGTAGTTCGTGATAGGAACGTATAAAACTTTTAACTGCTGCACAAAGCCATTTAAAATACATTGTCACAAAATCTAATGAATAAAACTCCCGAGCGTTTCGAATAACTTTTGCGATAAGCTATCGAAAACCGTATGCGTACTATTTCTGACATAATTTGCTTATGGCGAATCTGTTATTGTTCCGTAAGTGCCCAACTGATAATGTGTACATTAAAATGAGGCATTAAGTTGATGTAAAGCTCGAAAACGGTGGCATTTCCATCCCCTCGGCTCGACTCTGAATGATAAAAGCCACTAGCAAGTTGCTAGTAGCAACTTCAGACACTGAGAGTTGTTGGAAAGTCTAGCGGCGACTGCACAAAGGAACTCCTAATCTCCCCTCCACCAGATAAATCCACAGGAAGCATACAGTGGTCTTACTTTAAACGTGTCCGGGGATTCAGTGATACAGTTTTAACACTAAAAAAACTGACCTTTTACATTATGTTGTTAAAATTGCCCTGTACTGGGAGATTCTTAACTGAAAAGTTGTAGACGTGTCTAAAAAGCTTAAAGGTAACTCGTGAATATGCTCCGTTATCGGATGGACCCAGCATGTTCCAAATACGTTGCGCCTAATTTTATAACCTTTTCAATAATTTCGTAGCAAATTTGGCCCGGAAACATTAACCTATATCAGAAAAGGTCACGTTCTCCGTTGCCAGAGACTATTTATAGAACCTGGGTTATAACGATCACGTTTCTGGAAAAGTTATTGCTTTCGAACAAAGTAGGTAGAACATTTAAAAACACAACATTACATTGTCATAAACAATCCGGGAGAGAATTGTATGAAGGAAAATTGTAAAGTTGCGGGCACCATTTGGAAAATGTAAAATATGTCGCCATTAAATATTCCCAAGGAAGGGAATGTGACAAATAGTGCACGCCGACAAAAGTTGCTAAATAAAAAGCTCGGATCTCTTATACATGCTGTGGTTGAAAGTGCCCCAGCAATGCGAGAAAAGAAGGTAATATAGAACCCCGAAACCCGAACTTCTTATTGGGAAAGTGAAAACTACACCGCTTTTTATTGAAATAGACGACACAAAAACACAATATACGTTCATAGTTATTGTTTCTTTTTCATTTTTTTCATTCTTTTAAGTGTATAACTAAAATATTTCGTGGAGACAACTGAGTAAATTTTAGATAATTGATTTTGGTATTTTAAATTCTAGATTTGTAATTTTTTTCATATATTATATTGAAATATTGTTGTTGTTAGTCTAGTAGCCAACTACAAGGTCTCCAGGATGCATAGTATAGGTAAAATCTATAATTATAAATTTGAGATTGCTGACTTTGATATGAATTGCTGGAGATTGCTCATTTTGTTGTAAACGTTTAAGGAGATTTAGAAAAATAAACAAAAAATAATTGTATTTTTATTCCTTTGATGATAACTATACAATCAATGTGGGAAAATTTTGAACTGGACCACATAAATCTGGAGTTTCTTCTAAATCTGCGACCAGGTTGCCTCGTGCAATAAAGTTTTTATAGTACAACAACTCATCATCTTCTTCCCACTTTGCCCCGTAATGTTTTACTTCAATGTTTTGACATTATCAGCCTTTACGTCTTATTATAGTATAATAGCACAAAATAAACAAGATAACTTTTTTTATAATTCTTAAAACAATAAAACGTATTACCTATTTTAAATATATTTTTAAGTGCAATTTACTGCAATAGAACTTAACAGTATGTACCAGTAAAAAAATACAAAATTAATCTCTAAATACGTTATAACATCAAATGTTAGGATATCAGGTGACACAAATTACTAATTTCTAATGGTGGAATTGGAGATTGTATACTTTGCTGCAAATCTATCAGTGGAGATTGTCGACTTTGCACTAAATGTCATTTTTAAAATAGGATTTTAGGCAGGATTTAGTTCCTTTTGCAGCACATAAACTATATCATGTTATAGATAATTAGTTGAAGTGCAGTCTCCGCCAAAAATCTAATTATTGACCAAAAGTGGAGATTTTCGGTTTTGCTATGACAGGCCTCATATATAACCAAAGAAGACCAAAAAGCGTATTTGCAGTTACTGCCAAGGAAGTCAAAGTAAATACTTTTTATAGTGGACAAAATATTTGATGAAGAATTTTAACATAATATTTAATTTTGTTAATTTTAAAGGTTACAGATTATTTTGTTAATATTTAACAAATTATTTCGTTGAAAAAGTACACGTGATTTCCCACTGACAATACGCAACAACAAGTTCAACTAACTTCAGAGTCTGCAACTTATGTTTCTGCTTACTTTATTCTAATTCGTAACCTGTTCGTAACGACTGTCCAGAGTGTTTATAATATATTACCAGAAATCTGGTCGCAAGCTCGCTCGTGAGTAATAAAACTAAAATGGCGTTTATAAAATTGATACAATATACTATTATGCTCCTTTTTGAAAAGCCACAAACACAATTTAATATGCCAAAAACTTTTGACAACTTTGGACAGTTGATAACAATCTAGATAAGCCA